CCGAAATTTTCAGAGACTTTCGATCCTGCAATCAAACCTTCACCGCCCTTTCATACCCATCAATTATCATTAGAAAATAAAATCAATCATTGCCCCCTTGATTAGCATCGTCAGTTAGATAACCAAGGTGTCTATGATTCCAATAGAAAAATAATTACAAAACAGTTGAAATTTTCCAGAAGGTATTTGCGATTGCTAAATCATTCCCGATCGCACAAGGTTTAGTCTCAATTAGTTTTGAACGGTGAAAGGCGATGCAACCGTAATTAAAAGCATAACTAAATCGTCGATTAAGTCATACAGCAGGATCGACAGACCTCGATCAGCAATGCGGTCGAGCAAAACGTAAACGTTATTCCGTAATTCTGGTAAGGCAACCGTAATACGCATTGCTTTAGATATACATGTAAGAAGAGATTCATTTGCGTGCCTCGACAATTAACGCTTTTTTCATTTATGTTACAAAATTCTTGAAATGAATTGGTTTTTATAGCGGAATTCACGTTAATTGGTATAATTCAAATATTTCAGTTTTTGGTGTATTATATCGATTATTAATTTCTTTGTGGTAGAATATCCCCGGTGTCCAGGGTATGACGCACGAACGGAGGGTAAAAATGCAAGGTATTACGTAAGGAACACGAGACTTGGACGGTCGATTACGTGGGCAGTCGATCGGGCCGATGGAAAACGACACATGTAAGCGTGTGCAATATGCATCGTGTAACATCGAATACGTGACCATTCGAGCGTAACGTTCCACGGGAATGTTTATATATGTACGTTTATATCGAGGGAAGTACTGGTCGCAGAGTTACTACGAGTACCATTTACGTTGCTACCCAGCCATCGAAAGCAGTAATTGGATTCGAGATAGCAGAATGGTCGCTTTCTCGAAAATCCATCGAGCCCCTCCTGAAATGCAATCTTGCATCTTGTTTGCCTCCGATGCTTGCATCTGATCGAGTATTAAATTTGATTTCCATTTCGAGTTGCAACATTCATTTCAGTTATGATTACAACTTTAGACACGCATTAGTGTTTATTTCAAAGGGCTATAAAAATTAACCTACATCTCACTCAATAACGATGAGTTCTTACCGTTAATTGCAATGACAATAAATAAATAAATTAATTAAATATATAACAGTCAGAAAGCAGTCTCAGTCGAGTTCCTGTTTACGCTTCATTCTCGTCGTCCCTTTCTGTAACAGGTGATTCCGTGGGTGGTTCGGTTGGCCATTTTCCGACAGTCGCGGCAGGGTCAATCGTGGACGGAGGATCCGTGATTACAATTGGGCCTAATGGTTCAACCGTTTGCTCCTCCTCTTTCACCATGTTTTTGTCCTTTTCTTCGAGACTCTGGGAGCTCTCGTTTACTTCCGGTTTCACTGGAACCATTTGCGGTTTCGCCTCTGACTCAGTTGAATCTGGCGTGGGTGGTACCAGTTCCGTGGATGGTACCATCGTTCTGATTTGACATTGACGACCCATGTAACCGAGAGGACAGATGCATCTAATTGTAACATAAAATTTCACAATTACGTTATCGATTGATTAATCAAATTATCAAAGACGATCGTCAAGTATCATCACCTGTAGTTGCCATCTTCCTTTGTCATACTAATGCAAGTTGCATTATTTTTACAGATTCCTTGGTGCTCGTCGCAGTAGGTCAGCTTCTCGTTGCATAGATCACCCGACCATCCAGGTTCGCATCTACACTCCCATGGACGTTTGCAGGAACCATGGACGCATCCAGGGTAAGGAACACATTCGGTGCAATTGGGACCAGTCCAGCCTACGCGACACCTACACGTCCCTGGACGACGACAACTACCGTGCTCCCGGCTGCAGCCTTGCGAGCAAATAGCTGCAGGCAGAATAAATAAATTTAGATAAATGTACATTGGGATATTCGAGGGTCACTTACGGGTCTGACATAGAAGTCCGGTCCAGCCGGGTTCGCAGCGGCATTCGAGTGGCCCTTGGCACGTACCGTGGACGCAGCCTGGTAAAACGGCGCACTGTTTGCATTTTGGTCCTTGCCAACCTAGTCGACATCTACATAAAAGGTAATTCAAAAAGATGATAAAAATCAATTTAATTTTTTAATGTAAGTAATTTGCAAGTCTTTGTTCTTAGAATTAAATTCCAATCTTCGAATATCATATTTTCCGGCGATCAGGATAATCTTATATCGATCAGCATTGCTTTAAAGCAGCAATGAACGTTAATGGGACAAGGGCCTGGTAAAACCTGTCGGTTTCGTTGCTTCGATCCGCCGCTACCGGTACTGATAACCGTTCATTACTCCGCCATTACGCCTTAGCGCGTTACCTGCATTCGCCGGGCTTCTCGCAGTATCCCTGGTTAGGTAGACAATCGGCAGCGCAGATCGGTTCCGAGCAGAACATCCCCTTCCATCCAGGATCGCAGGAACACTCGAAGCTCACGTTACAGCTGAAAGTGAAAATCAATTGCGTCACGGTGCGCCGCGAGATGGATACGTGGTGTTCGAAAAGGAACGTTTCGCGTTACATGGAAATCAAGATCCTTTGGGTTGGTCATGGGTGAAAACTTTCACGGTTGGATCCGGGTTAAATGAACCAAGTAGACGTGTTAGATAAAAGCGTTCGTTTGAAATTCGTGGTTAATTTTAGCTTCGGGTAATCGTATCTCTTCTGGAATATTACGTTTCTAGAGAAATTAAAACCGGCAGTAAGTGGATTGCGGTTTTCGTTTGTCGAGGATTTATTTTAGCGGTTCGATTTACAGAGTTTTATTTGAAATATTTATATAATAAATTTTCAGGAAAAGTTTACCTGCCGTGTTGACATCCCGGTAGAGCGACACACTTGTCGCATAGCTCACCGTAGAAGCCTAATTTGCAGCGACACTCGCTGGGTCGACGGCAGTAACCCTGAAGAGGGTCGCATCCCTTCCGACAGATTGGTACGTCGCACAAATCTCCGGTCCATCCTAACAGGAAGGAGAAAAAAGAAAAATGAAAGGAACACCGGTTATACAAACTGGAATTTCTATGTCATTAGCTTCTTATTGCTAAGGACGAGTTCTACTAATCCCTTCTTATTCTTTCTCTTTTTACCTGGCAAACACTTGACCTCCCCGGCTTCGTCGCAGACGTAATGCGAGTTTGGATGTTGAGATGCTGGTATCTCGCATGCTTGCTTCTTCCATTTTGGAACGTATCTAAATGGAATAGAAATTTATATTCTATCGCTACAAAATTAGAAAATTGAATTACAATACCCTCTATAATTAATACTGCGATGTACCCCTTATAGTACGCATTCTTCACGATCACAATGGATGTATTACAAATAGAAATCACTTTTGACTCAATGCCTTCGAAATTGGATCCACACCACTTTCAAAAGAGAAACCATTCGTATATAGAATAGTGGAACGAGACATAACCGAGCATGGGGAACACTGTTCAAGATAACATCGACTACGACTCGGTAATTAAAGCAACGGTGTACTACACATGTGACACCCGGAACCTTGTAACAATCTGATCATTGATAACAAGATACTACTCCATTCTATTAATTCTAGTAACAAATACCGCGTATGACTTCCGTTTGAAAATAATTACCTAAACTAACACATATCAATATCCCCTTATAATAATCATAACTTCTTTTTTATTATAATATGATACAGAGTATGCCAGAATCCAAGGAGTCTTTTGACTTTTAAGAGGTCACAGCTTCCCCAATGAAAATAATGAAATTAAAAAAAATGATAATCGATGGATAATACCTCGGGCCAGCTGCAAATCCAAATGGCAGTGCACCAAGACCAAAAATAGTTGTCACACCAACGGAAGGTCCATTGTTCAGATTGCCCAGTTCGCCAGGGCCGATCAGGAGGCTGAGACAAGCGAGCAGCAGTATCATCTTTGCTTGACTTCCGAGTCAAGACTGAGGACGACCGCGTCCAAGGCTTCGCCTTGGATAACGGGACCTTGTTCGAGGTCATGGCACACTTTTTCATGGTTGCTCAGTGTGTCCGCATGTGTGTGACAGGCGTACACATCTGGACTTCCCCCACGGACTGGACTGTTCGTTTCTTTTTTTATTCTTTTTTATTCTTACTTGTTCGACTCACGACAAGTTTATTATTCGCCGCTCGGGAAAGTTCAACGTACCTCTTCGACTACCGAAGCAAACAAGTACGTATCTCCCGCTGCTAACGGCCCCGTTCGAAAGGAAATGGACGTTCTTGGGACTTTCTCGGGAGGATTCGTAAGCTAAAGTCCCCGGGGCGAATCGAACCAACTCGAGAGCTCTGCCATTTCTTTCGGACGTGTAACAGTTATTTCGCTTGACGGTCTTTCGAGAACGTTCATTGGGAAATTTATTCGTTAATCCATGAACAGAGGAGCTTGGGTCAATCGCGACACGTACAAGGATATAATTTTTCTAACGAAAGAGTTTATTGGAAGAATAATTTTCAAAGGAAGGGTGTAAAATTTAGAAAATGAAAATTTAATTAAAATTCAGGCTTGAAGAATCTTCAATTGTAAAGGTTCCACTTCCACCAAATTTAGTTTTTGCATTGAAATTAGGGCTCTCTTCATGGTCCGTCGTCCGAGGGTTAATCCCCACCACTCATATTCATCTCCTACTCACGCGGTTACTATTCCTTTAATTTCAAAATTTGTCCAAAGCAAAAGATATATTGGAAAGTAAAATCCTGTTTTCCCATGGTCGATCTTACGTTTATTCGAGGAAATCCTCTTTTCTATGGCTTCCAAAGGATTTCTCTGAAACGTTCGATTCCCTCTGTAATCTGGTTTAAATCCATTCGATATGGGAGGACAGTCGACCCTTCCGAAATTCGATGAAAGAACCTAGGGAACCCTCGTCATTCAATTTTGATCCTCTGCCAAGGATACTCTGCCAAAGAAGGGATTAAAATCCAAAGTTTCGAGTGGGATAAAAATGTGTTCGTGTCACGTTCGCAAACGGTTGCTTGTTTACAAGTGATTTATTTATATTTTAAGAACTATGTACAAGCTTTCGTACTACTATTTACAAATAAATACACAGGTTAGCGCCTCGAAAAGCGCTGTTCTACTTTCTCTGATGATATAGGAACTCTTTTTAACAGTCTGTTCGTTGCGCGTTGAGCAAGCAGTGATTTTCAGTTAACCATCCATTACGTACAAAAATATCATCCAACGATTTGTACATACTACACCAGCACATTTACACGTTTTACAGGCTATTTTCTTATCTATCGAACATCAAATTTACAGTGTCAAGTGAAATTAAATCGGTCGCTTGAACGATTTTTATTCTGCAAATATGTTGATCCAAGTAACTGATTCAACTGTTATACATAATGGTAATATCTAGATCGTGAATGTTCATGTAAATATTATTTTTTTGCAATGATTTTGGAAGAATTTATTTTATAAGTGCATAAACATTCGCAGTCTAGTAATGGCAATAATCTAGCAGTCTCCTTCTTAATATTCATTCGACGATAAAATTTGCCACTTGAGGGCAAACGTGTCCCTGAGTTTGTCATTGTCATCGACGATTCATTAACACATCGACTTTATTAACAATTTTGTTCGAAACCAAAAAAGGAAAGAAAATATGAGATGTTCGAAAGGCAGTCAATGTGTTAACCCTAAAAGAAGGGTGAATCTCCTGAGACTCACGGTACTTACTTCTACATACACATATAATACAACACTTTTAAATTTAAAATCATTTTCAATTAAAAACTAAACGTTTATGTATCATCTGTTCCCACTGTCAATTGTTTCATAATAGTAGACTATGTTAACAGAGTCCATGGGACCTTGTTTCGATATTTAAGGTGATCCTTTTATTCGTGAAAATCAGCTTCAAACTTCTTCAACCTCAGCATTTTTATTCTTCATGCAGATTTTAGCCAGTGCAAGGATGATCAGCGAAAGTACAGCACAACCGCAGGCAGCGTAGACGTCCCAAGGATACAGGTACTCGAGGGTCCTTTCTATCCTCTTAGCCTGGACGAAATTAGGCCTGGTGTCCACTTCGATGGGGAAGCTACCTGGTCCGTCGTTTGAAGCGATTCTGACGAAGTATTTCGTGCCGGGCACCAAAGAAATCTGGGCTGAATTCGAGTCGGCCACTTGGTTACCCATTAGACCTCCAGTCTCTGGCTCCCAGGACACCACGTAAGACTCCCTATTCCCTTGATCCTTGTCCAATTTCTCGTAATCATTGCTAGTAGACGGTGTGTTGTCAGTTTCCATAGAATCCTCCTTGCGATCGTCCTTCCTTCTGAAGAAGAACCTTCGGAATACCTCGTCGGATATTTGAGAATCCTCCTGGCTTCTCCACTCGGCGAGCACCTTCTCGCCGTATTTTTCCAGGAAGAACTGTCTGACTCGGTTGTTGAACCGGACCTGTTCCAGGGATCTCTGTTTCTGGAGCTGAGTCTGGACGTCCTTCCAGGAGATGGTCGCCTCGTACAATGGGCCTTCTTTCAGGGATTCCAGCTTCGGCACCCACTCTTGCCAACTGTAGTGCTTCACACCGTCCTCCATGGCGACGATGATCCAAGTGTCCGGTCTTAGGTTTGGATTGTGCCCACCCGAATAATAACCGGTCACACGCCACTGTTTGTACACCTTACGCATCACCACTGCCACGTCGAATCTGTCCAGATCTATGGGTGCCTTCTTGGGTGCTGGTAACATAGACGGAAGGTACTTTTCTTCTACCCTTGTCTTCCGGTAGTTGCAGGTCGTTTGGCATGCTGGACACTGGAAACATAATTAATGTCAACTGTTAATTAATTTCGCCAATTTTCGAACGCTCGTTTTTAACCAAAAGAACGAATTAACTATCCTCTAAAAAGAGACATTCTATTTATCTGAAGAAACATCAAAGGATCCTGATCTGAAGGTTCATCGTAACCTGGTAGTCAGACGTTGCCCAAATATTTGAAAAAGATTCCTATCTCTAGAGGTCGATACATCGACTGTTTAAACTCGAGCGTTACAGGGCAAAGGGGCTCGATCTTCCGTGAAAATCGACAGGTAGCCGTTTCTAAGGATTTTCCCAGCCCGTAGATCTTCGCGTTCCTTTATCAAGGATTCTCTTTATTCTGGTCCCAGGGCTATGGACCGATGGTCATCGATTATTTCTACCACGGTTTCGAAACGTTTCAAGTTAACCCCCGCGAAAAAAAGTTTCCAACGGTCGATCGATTCGAATTTTCCGCTAGTTCGATACGCTCGAAGAATTTAACATAAGCTGAACACAAAGATTCAAAATAATTCGAAATTTTCTGCACATATTTGTAGTACTAATAATTGCTGGAAAATGATTAGAAATAGCCCCAGAAACAAACTGCAAACAACCCTCGATGCAATTTCCCCTTGTCAAAGGAAACGACCGAAAATTTCCCCCTCGCAGCATCCCCTAATCCAAAAGACCGTCTCGTCCCTAAATTTACTTACATGTAGATACTGGTCGCCCTCGCAAATGGTTCTCGTTTTCTCCCATCGATTCTCCAGGCCCTCGCAGTATTGCCAGCACTGTAACACACAAGAAGAAAAAAAAAAAATAAAATAAAATAAAATCACATACACACAGTGAAAGAAGCGAGCACGGAGGGAAGAGGGAGGTTTGAACGTCGAACAAAAAGCTCTTGCACGCACGGGTAAAAAGGACGACGGTACAGGAGGGGGATGAAGAGGGAGAGGAACGGCTGAGGAACGCAAAGAAGGAAAGGGAGTATAAGAAAGCATCGGCTGGGACCCTTGAATCGAGCGATTTAAGCGGCTATAGAGAGGACCAGGGGAAGGAAGAGGGTGCAGTCAGAAAGAGGAGAAAAAAAAAGAGATGAAAGAAAGAGAAAGAGAGAATTGAGGAGGGGGTCCGAATTAGCTCCAACCTGTTTCAGGCATAACAGGCACCGTCGTTGTTGTCTTCATATTTATTGGGGTACCGTCTCTCGTGGAGCCCTGTTTCCAGATTCTTTTTTTTTTTTTTTTATTCTGTTCTCTTAGAGACAGACCCCTTTCCTCTACCCTCACTCCCTGAATTATCCTTCATCACGATGTTCCTTCTAAGTCTGGCTGCTTCGTAGAAACAGCCACACATAGGTTCCCTCTTTCGCGCTAATGACGCCTCGGAAAAAAGAAGAAGCGACCTCGCAGCCATCTAAGAACTCGGTCTCGCGATAATTTCTTAGGACCGTAACATTTTTCCAGTCGGCTTTTAGCTGCTATGCGTAAACGAGATTCGAAGAAAGGCCTCGAGTGCTTCTGGTGGATTAGTCAGAAACAGCTGATTATATCATCGGTGATGAGAAATGGATACGCGAAAAACAAATAACGGAACGATCGATTGTTAAAGTAGATTAATTGAAAGTTTGATGACTGTATAGGAAATTGGATCGTTCAGAGCTGATTTCAGTAAATTGAAAGCCACGAATGATTCGGTGTAGACGTTTGCGGCGCCCTTTCATCCCGTTTATTTCACTTTACGGCGACCCCGGTCATTGATTTCCCGAACGAGGGGACTCGTTTTTACGACCCTCCAGCGATCGTAACTCGATAACGGTACGATCATTTCATCTGGATGAAATCTGATGGAGCGATCGACGCCTCTAATCCACGGCTCTTCGATTACCATCGGCCGATTAAATTGCCTGCTGGTGCGAATTTTTATTTCTCTATTATATTACCAAAATTATCGGTACGAGTCCAAGATGATTAATCGATCGAATTGGAAGAAGAATTCTGATTCTTTCAGAAAAGTAACAATGGACGAGGAACCTGCCAACGATCTCAGGCGTGTTCCCCTCGTTTCCAATCGGTCGAACACCGAACGGTCTCCCTCGAGATCCCAAGTTGAAACAATTATCGTGTGCAGGAAAAGAAAGGAGGTCGGTTCAAAGCGAGCGCAAAAGGATTCCCCTATCAACGAATAATCGTCATTAGACGACCGTAACTTGGACGTTCTTTCACCGAGGGGGTTCCCCTCCAGCACGACCTTCGTTAAGCCACCTCCGCGCGTCCGCCTTCTTTGAGAATCGTTATTCTAATGTGTCCCAGGGAAACGAGACTCGAGGACCTCTCCTTTCTCCTTTCGGGAATAAATTTGAATGGATCATCGTCGCCCTGTTCCCTCGTTCAACTCTTCTCGATTCAACCACGATAATGTTCGAACCGTGTACGTGTCTCCTATTCACGCATACACACACGCAGAGACATTCTTTTTCTTGTTGCCCGTGGGTGTACACGCGAGCAAGATGGCATCGATTTCCCCGAAATTAATGGACACCCCCTGTACACCAAATGAGCAACGCCCTACGAGTACACACACGTGGTACGAGCCATTGTGCGTGAGTTAATCGTGATTCCCATCTGTCCATCTGCGACGCGTCCGACCCACCAGGGGTGGCTACCAAGGGTGGGGACGACCACCATGATTTTCCTCGGCGCCCCATAAAACCGACACGCGAGATTTATCGCCACGATTCGGCCTCGGTAGGGTCCTATTTCGATTTTCAGATGATCGAATCGAAACGAACGTGATCCGGAGTTACTTTTTCGCAGGGTATTTTGATTTCGTAGGAGATTGTTTATCGTTTGGTAGACGAGAATAAAATTGGGATTGTTGGTTTTTCGAGGAAATTCTTGAGAGAAACGTGTGGTCTGGAAGGGTCGCGTCGGATGCTTCGAAATTTCGTGACGAGTTCCAACTTGTGAGTCTATTTGAGACGAGGAGAGTTCGTGTGCGTTCAAGTAACGAGAGAAGAGAGAATAGATATTTTTAAATACATTTTTTCCCAAGGGACTGAGATTTAACGAAAAGACTTAGAATAAATAAAAAGATAAATTTTCAATTACCATGCTGCAACTAGTTTGCTGTTGACCCGAATACCAATCGCAAACTCCATCCGTGGTATGCTTCCTTAAACACTGCGATCTGCACTGAGCAATTCTGATAATTGGTCCAAGATCGAAGCTGGTAACCATCGTCGTACACCAGACGAAGAACAAGAACCACAATGTTTCCATGTTCGATTTCGTATCTCAACCGTGTATTCACTCACTCGTTCACTTTCTCAATTCTTCACTATAGTCCGTATTAATAACACTGTTATAACAGGAACAATAACTATTGGTTATCGAATGGAACGATTGAAAGTGTTGGCCGAAGAGGTGGACGAGGAATAGAGACGCGGGTACCTCCGAAATTTCGAGCCGACTGCGACCCTTCAGTGGTCGGTACCTTCCTTATGTAGCCACGCGCCCCACCATTGAATTTCAGCTCGTCCCTACCCCCTTAAGGCAACCGTAGCATCCCTTGTAATTATCCGTGGGCTGGAACCATCTCCCTCGGCATATGGTCGACCACGCTGCATCATCGTCCTTCTGGCCGAATTATTTCGCCGGCCAAAGAAGTAGGCCAAACTGCGAAAAGAGTTGGCCTTTCTCCTTTTTGTAATTCGCCATTCGGCGACTAATCTTGATTCCACGAAACCGATCAGGATAATTTCACTGAAGATCAACCCTTTGAGAAGATCCCTTTCTTCCTGTTATTATTATAACATTTTGAATAGAACGATTCATTTTTGAATCGAGCGATTCATTTTCAATCGTAACTGTATTGTAAGATTTTTCGTGGATGTATGAAAGTTTTCAATTTAAGGAAATGGAGGATCGTTGATGCAACGAAATTACCGAAGCATTATTCTTCCATAAACGACTCGCTTAACGTAGATTCAAGTTTCCCTGGTATGCTCTGCGTACAATCTGTCGTCGCGAATATTATCTGGTAGTGCACCACCCTCGCATTACAACCTCCTAGCGTTTCACTGTAATTATCCACGTGCCGTATGGTCGCCAGCATATGGTCCAAAACGGCATTCTGCCGCGAAGAAACCTTCCCCGATGCGGGAGGAAAGAAGAAAAAAGATTGTTCCAAAATTGACCTGTTCTCGGGAGAAATTAAATTTCGTCTTCGGTTGATCGTGGAATCGCGTCGCTTTGAAAAGTACCTTCAAGTTCCTCGATGATATTCATTCTCAGAAACCCTCTTGCCAGTGTTCTTTGAACAATTTTAGGTAATCTGAATCATTCATGGTTTTCTAATAAATTTTTGTTTCATTGTAAATTTTCATTTACATTTATTATTAATGGTCGAGAAGATAAAAGGAGTTTTGGGCGTAACTAGGAGGAAACGGATGATCAATCGACCCTCGCAGTGACGAGGAAAAGACCGCAGGGCCTTCGGGAAGGCCCTCAGGGTGTCCAGGAAAATTTGGCCGCAATTAGCCAGCATCCGCCCAGGGCTACGATGCAAACAGCTCTTCCTGGGTCTTCGACAGTGGGGGAGGGAAGAGGAAACAGGAGAATCGGTTTCGAATGATCGCGATTCGAAGGATCCGCATTATCAAAAGGTCTCGTAGCACGATCCAATATACGGTTTTCATGGCGCAGGTACGCGATCTGGTCCCACCCACCACCTCCACTCGATGAAAGGGAATAAAAAAAATGAAATCAAAGAGGCATGAAACTAAACGCGAAGGAAGAGGCGGAGAGACACGGCCCTTGGACCGATAAAGAACGCGAGCGGAGAAAAGAGAAGTAGGAGGAGTAGTAGACGAAACGTATTCACCGGAAGTCGTTCGTGCTCCCTGGGTGCCCCGCGATACCCCCTCACAATGCACAGGATGTGTACAAATAAGGGTATTTGTCTGGCAGTCCGATTGTGGGGTGAAATATACGATGACGTTGAAACTCACGGGACCGAGTTGCATCCCTAGCGCCGAGCTGTGTGAAACACGCTTGATCCGCGCCCGCTCGCTCGCTCGCTCGTTTGTGCCCGTTGGCAATAGAAAAGAAGCCCACGAATAGAAGAACCATTCATCTAGGCACCGTTTAGGGGTGGCGCTCCGACGACGGATCGTTTCTTCAATAGAGAGTGACATTTTATTGTACCCCAGGGCTTTTCTCACACCTGGTCCATAGCCGATCTACGCTCGACGCGTGACGATCCACCGTGATTTTTACCAGTTCTGTTTCACCGACTTACGCTGACGATCTCTCGTCGAACGTGAAATTCCTTTTAATAGGATGACGCTCTTTTCTTTGACATTCTTGCCATCGCGAGCCCCGATTCCTTGGAAAATTCGGAGCTTTCCAATCGTGAAAGTATCGTTAACGAGATTCTTAGCTTCAGAAAATTTTCACGAAGCAAGCAAAAAGAAAAATATTGCAGGATACAATATTAATTATATGGGACGTTTATCCTATTTGCGAAAATTTTCGTAAAATTAACGAATATCGAATTGTTCGGTTTGTTTTGGAGGGTTGCTCGATGCTCGACTACCTTCATCCCCGAAGACATTTCCCGACACCGTAGGTGCGAGGATGTTTTCGTAGGGGCCGTAATCCGTGACCGTCTCCCTTCCGACATTCCTTTTCCCTCGTCCCAGTCCTCGAACCGACCTTCTTTTCCAACCGACCAACTATCACCGTGTAACATCTCCCGCACGAAGCGTTCTTGTATTCCTGTGACCACGCGTTGCCCTCGCAACAGCATTGTTTATCGACCGTAATCCTCGCCGCCAAGGATTACGTGAGTCTCGATTTTCCGTCAGATTAAGTACGTCTGTTCCCCGGGCTCGAACACGACCGACGACCACGGGTCTTCAACAGTTTAGAGAGAAAAGAATTCGAATCGGAACCGCGGACACGTTGATCGTGATGGGCCAAGATTTTATTTCAGATCTTATCCGCGTTTCCGTCCTCGAGTTTCATAAAAAACCGCTTTTCCGTCGGCTGAATGGAACGGGGATGAATAGTTTCTTTTTATTCTTTTGTCGCGGATTGCGTACAATTCATTCTGGATATTTTCGAGGAGAACGTGTGAATGTAATACATATTTGATGGATTAAAATTAATGAGGAAACGTTTCTCAAACGTGTTGTTCAAAGTTTACACTGGGTTTCAGAGGCGCGAACCAAAGCCAAAGAACGTGGCGCATAACAAAAGGAGTTTGCTGATCGGATTGTCAAACGTTGGGGAGCGCAAAGTTGAATCCTGAGCTTATCTGTCCTACAAAAATATTACTATTCTCTCAGCTTCCTTAATCTCCGTATACAACCCGAGGGATTATTTTTCTCAAATATTATTTCAAACCATCCATGTACCCTGCTTTTCTTTTTCAAAATATTCTATGACATTTTGGTCCATCAATGAAAATTATTCGAAATACCCAAAACTTCACTGACAAGCCTCACCTAATTTCTATCGTAGCAGAAAATTGTCAGAAATTACCTCTAAGGGAGACCTTCACCTTTGTAGCTTCCGAAAATCACCTTGGTCTAGTAAGAAACGCGACAAAGCAGAAAATTTCGGTCTTTAGGATTCCTCCGGTCTAAACAGCGTCGGCGGGGACATGGAGACGCTTTGAAAAGCCAGTTTTCGCGTCAAATACGACGGCGACAAATTTTCATTGTCAACGAGAAGCATTAGCGTTGGCTTTCCCTCGGTCGCTCGAGGCGGGATAAGAAAAAGAAGAAGAGATTTCACGAAACGAGTCCCCAGGGAGGACAGGTGGTAACCAGAGGATCTGTGAATCGCTATTGAGCACTTAGCCTTCTACCTTGCCTCAGCAGACGCTAGGTATCCGCCAATATGTTAGCCTGACAAATTCTCGAAACCGAAATTTATAACCCTCGACTGCTGGTGGGTCGTGTTCGGCCCTTGGGACTTGCTCTTGCTTTATGACACCGGCTTTCGGGTCGAACATTGTGGACAGAGATCTTTGCTGATGAGCATTTTTTCCTTCTCACTGGATGTGTAACTAAATCTTATACATAGGATAACGTATATAGCTGTAGATCTCTATACAATGATTGATCTTTTTTGCTAAAAAAGTAGAAAATGCATTTTTTAACTTTCGGACCATATATTTCATATTATTTTATTTTGTTTAAATATTATACATTTAACTTTAGGAAATGTCCTTGTATATGTTTTGTAAATGGGGGTCGCAATTGACCCAGTCTCAGCTGTTCAAATATTAATTAAGAAAATATAATTACGAATACTTTTTGTCGCAACTAGAATTATAGTTTATTATATTATATTTTCTACATTTTTAGGTATTACTTAAACAAAGAAAGCTTTGAAAATATCGTTTCATTGATGGCTGCTAAAGGCCCACTCTCACCACGTATCAGTCCTTCGTTTCCCCTCCTGTCAAATTAACAGCGTCACCCTTCCCATCGTGAAGCAGTCAGTGAAAAGCTCGTTCTATCCGAGCAATTAAGGGCTTCGAAACGCCCTCCAGACCGGCACGGGCGAAAATCTCTTTTTTTTTTTCTCTCCCCTCACGGTCTTCGTAAATCACACGAAACCCGACGTTGTCGTTCGCTTTTACGAGCGCAGTGACGTCGAATCGGAATTTCGAGGGCTGATTTAGGGCCGTTGGAAGCGCGAGAAAGGCGCCATCGACTCTCGCCACGATTCCAAAATTTCTGATTGTAAATCAAAAGGCTTCACGCTTTGAAACGTTCCAGAGTTCTGGCCTCGTAAAGGTCGCACCAATTGCTTCTTGGCTTTTCCTCGTCAACTTGACGGTAGCAACCGCCTAATTTACTGCGGCTGACTTTCGGTCGGAGTGAAAATTGCGGTCCCACCGCTACTTTTTGCAATCTCACCCTGAGGTAGGGTCTTTGTTACCAGGACGACCTCCGAAACCTTAAGCAGTAGGAAATTTTCGCCTCCCTGTGGTTTCTGCTTTGTGTAAGACTCTGTAAGAGAAATCTGTCTACGATTTTCAAGGGAAGATAAAAACAGAACGTGCCGAGTATCTTCATCAAAGATAGTCGATTTTCAAAGCGTCGAATCAGGTCCGGTCGATCGAGCGAAATTCAGCTGGTGGAAGAGATTTCACGGCGCAAATGGCACGAAATTCCGAGCTTCTTTCTTGCGTCCACCCGGTTCTCTACCTCTTCCGCCGTCATTAATTCTCTTTTTGCCGCGTGGTCGGTGCATCTCGTACCGCCGCGGTCACTTTTTGCCGGATACAATGGCCCACGGAGAATATCGTTCGATAATCTCGCATGCACGTGGTTCCACGCGTGTTCGTGGCTCGTTCGCTTTTCAATGGGGGCCCCACGGTCGGCCGGGGCCCCGCCGTTCGGTTTCGCGTCGCGGCGAAAGCGACCGCAAGCGTGTGTTCGTCCCGGGCCCCGGTAATTGCCGTCGAAAG